TGGGGCATTATTCCTTCCACAGATACCAATGATGGGGCACTATTCCTCTCGCTGATATCAATGATGGCGCACTATACCTCTCGTTGATATCAATGACGTGGCATTATTATTTCCTTCCACGGATACCAATGACAGGGCACTATTCCTCTCACTGATATCAATGATGGCACACTATTCTTCTCGCTGATATCAATGATGGTGCACTATTTCTCTCGCTGATATCAATGGTGGCGCACTATTCCTCTCGCTGATATCAATGATGGTGCACTATTTCTCTCGCTGATATCAATGGTGGCGCACTATTCCTCTCACTTATATCCATGATGGGGCACTATTCCTCTTACTGATATCCATGATGGGGCATTATTCCTTCCACAGATACCAATGACAGGGCACTATTCCTCTCACTGATATCAATGATGGCACACTATTCTTCTCGCTGATATCAATGATGGTCACTATTTCTCTCACTGATATCAATGGTGGCGCACTATTCCTCTCGCTGATATCAATGATGGTGCACTATTCCTCTCGCTGATCAATGATGGGGCACTATTCTTCTCACTGATATCAATGATGGGGCACTATTCCTGTCACTGATATCAACGGTGGGGCACTATTCCTCTCATTGATATCAATGATGTGACACTACTCCTGCCAATGATATCAATGATGGCACACTATTCCTGCCACTGATATCAATGATGGGGTGCTATTCCTGCCACTGATATCAATTATGGGGTGCTATTCCTCCCACTGATATCAATGATGGGGCACTATTCCTCCCACTGAGACCAACGATGGGGCCACTATTCCTTTCACTGATTCCAACAATGGGAGCACTATTCCTTTTACTGATACCAATGATAAGGCACTATTCCTCTCACTGATATCAACGATGGGGCACTATTCCTCTCACTGATATCAATGATGGCACACTATTCCTGCCACTGATATCAATGATGGGGTGCTATTCCTGCCACTGATATCAATGATGGGGTGCTATTCCTGCCACTGATATCAATGATGGGGCACTATTCCTCCCACTGAGACCAACGATGGGGCCACTATTCCTTTCACTGATTCCAACAATGGAGCACTATTCCTTTTACTGATACCAATGATAAGGCACTATTCCTGCCACTGATATCAACGATGGGGCACTATTCCTCTCACTGATATCACTGATGGGGCACTGTTCCTCCCACTGGTATCAACAATGGGGCGCTGTTCCTCTCACTGATACCAATGATGGGGCGCTGTTCCTCTCACTGATACCAACGATGGGACGCTGTTCCTCTCACTGATACCAGCGATGGGGCGCTGTTCCTCCAACTGCTATCAATTATGGGGGCACTATTCCTGCATCTGATACCAATGATGCAGATTATTCTTCCCACTACTACAAATAAACTTCTACTGCCCACAGGCATTATGTAATTATTTTACCCCCCTGACCACCAAGTTTGAGATATTTTCAACTCCCACTGACCAGAATCCAGCTTAAACTAGCCCTATGCTTAGAAAGTTTGGAGATCCTTGTTTTAGTCCGATGGAATGTTTCTATACTTAGTTAAATGGTTGGTAAGGTTGAATAAAGATATCAGTCCACCCAATCCAACCTGGCTGTGTGTGTTTATGTCACAACCATTTTCAATATAGATTGTGTTCACTGAGAAACATAGCCAAAAGTTTTTTGAATTTATCTACACCCCGTACTGACATCACAAACTGTGAAAGGGAGTTCCATATCTTTACCACTCTAACAGTAAAAAAAACCCTTACGCAGTCTTACACAGTTTAACATGGAATCCCTTCTTATTCAGCTTCATTGTGTGGCTGTGTGTCTTCTTTAGAGACCTAAGATTTAAACGTGTTCTCCCAATGATATAGTCACCATTTAAATATCTGTCTATTATGATCATATCCCCTCTTACTCGTCTTTTCTCCAGGGAGAATAAGTTTAATGTTTATTCCCCTTATTCAATTTGTTACCCTTCTCTGGAATCTCTCCAGTTCCAGCACATCCTTCCTGAGGATTGGTCACCAAAACTGGACAGCAAACTCAAGAATGTGGGTGAGCCAGTGCTTTGTAAAGTAGTAGAATTACAGTTTAGTCTCTTCAGAATTCTGATCATAAGAGCTTCCTCTACAATTTCCGATTTTGTTCCTGCCCACCTTGGAAAGCTACGTGCTTGCACTCACCTTTAGGTATTTGTACTTCTCATTTTGCTGTCTCCCTAATGCAGTGTTTCTCAACTCCAGTCCTCATGGACCCCCAACAGGTCATGTTTTCAGGATTTCCATTATTTTGCACAGGTGATTTGATCAGTTTCACTGCCTTAGTAATTACCACAGCTGTTTCATCTGAGGGAAATCCTGAAAACATGACCTGATAGGGGTCCATGAGGACTGGAGTTGAGAAACACTGCCCTAATGTAATATAAAATCAAACAAGGAGTATAGGGCTGCCTTGCAAATATGTAAACCTTGAAACTAAAAGGAGGAAATCTCGCTAAGTACTTCTTGAAAGATATATGAAACCTTTAGATGATTTAAGGTGGACCTTAACTCAAAAGCAATACACCAAAAATTAAATCTGTGCAGTCACCCCAGTATCTACACAACACAAAACAAAAAAACTGGGTTGCAATGTAACACCTAATAAGTGCTTCTACCCCACTGTCCAACATGAATCCCCCTCCAGCAGTCATAGGATAGCAAAAGAGCCAGGTGAGCATTCAATGGGCAAATTCAGAAAAAAAAAGAAACTTCTGACTATTGTTGATACCTTCTTTTGCCAGTGACAACAGAAGGACAACCCAGGGAAAGGAAAGGTATGAAAATCTGACAAGTGGGAACACATACAGAAAATCCTGACAAATATGTTTTTGTACATGTATGAGATACCTGTAGTATGAGCTGAAGAGTATTGCAGTGACCTGTTTCCATTACTAGCATCAGCCCAGCTGGGGTAATAAGCACTGTTTGACCTCGCTTTATAATTTTAGGTCAAATGTGGAGGTAAGTAGGTGTTCTCACTGGGTGGAGTACATATATTGTACTTGATATTTCAATATAAGAAGAGGATTTTGAGCTATCACAAGATCTTTTCACTGGTGTGCGGCTGTAACATCTTTTTTGGACTAAATATTTATTTTTTATGCACAAGTTATTATGTTAATGATATGCTATCTGTGATAAGGTTTGGGGTAACACTACACTATATTGGTTTTTGGCTGAATTCAAAAGCAGCCCTGTAGCTGTATTTCAGCAGTGTTTTTTAAAGTACTGTGCCTCTGACAACTGTGCTGCTCACTGTTCTTTTTGCTGGAGATAAATCTGCAGTGCAAGATCTCCCTGCTGATGCTTCAAGTATGACCAAAGGCAAAACATTTTTTTTTTACTTTTGTATAGAGAGCACAGGGATTAGAACGCCTGTTTTTATTGCGTCCCCGTTATGGAGATTCTCTTTATTTGTCCTGTTAACCATTATCAATGAAAATTAAAGGAAAATCCCAAAGTAATAGAGAAAATCTTCTGATGGAGACAGGAGTTCTGGTGACCTGGGGGGTCCCCAAGGAATTCCCTTAATTTGCAGAGATTTTCTCTCACTTCATGTTTGGCAATGGGACAAAGACATAATGCACAACAAGGCATGGTAAGTCAGTAATAGGCAAAAGATCAGTTATAAAGAACATATAAAAAATTCTAATAACTAGTCCTTTTTCCACTTCTTTCCATTATTAGGCACTGCTTCCACGTTTCTCTTGATCACTTCAGCATCTACCAGAAATTGACATATGAGTTTTGGGTTGACTGTCCAAGTTGAATTACATTATGGTTTTTCGTGTCCCTGTTGACTTTAATTGCAAGAAATCAACACCAGAATTCATGGATTTTGATCCATGTACTGTACATGCTTCTAAAAGTATACAAGAAAATGGCACACAAATTTCATCAAAACACTCCATTAAGAATAGGCCCCATAACAACTGCAACATTCTTAATGAAAATTAGGAATATATTAAGTAGCTGGCCTTGAAAACCTAACAATATTTATAGTATAAAGATATAAAATAAATGTATATTGCACTTAAACCTAAGATTTCCTGTATGAACTGTAGAATCTAATCCAACGAGCAGTTTGAATATATTCTTAATATAAATCATCAGATTACTAGTCACTATAATGGACATTATTCTGTACTTGGAACTAGAGATGTACAGCAACACATTTACAATATATAGTATTACCTGAATGTAAAGTGTACGGTAATCCCTGGTGACATTAACCCTGTGTGGTCTGCCATCTGTCAGGTTTCTCTTGCTTAGCTGAAAGATATTTGGACTTTTGCTCCTCAGTTGATAATTTAACTGCAAGGTTCCTGCCATACCAGATAATAAAAGAAGAGTTAACAAACTTGGCATGGTAAAGGGAAAGCATTCCAAGAGGGCACATACTGTATATTTGAATTATCTCTGCACTGAATATCCTTAAATAATGTTTGATGTGACTTTCATATTTTTATGGACCCATTCACACCACTCAGGTCTGCTGTGATGTCTTAAATGGACGCACATTATTCACAAGTCAATGTGCGTTGTGTCAAGGAAGCCCATTCATATAAATGGGCTACCTTCGCAACTGATGAAAAAATGGCTACCTTACACACAACAAAAAAAAATTCTGCATGCTCCATTTTCTCCAGTGTAGTGTGTTGCAACACATTGTGGCGTGATGCCAGTTTATTATTTTCTGTTTCCTTCTGGGGAGATGCCACAGGAAGCAAGAGGGAATATCTACAAAGTGGGGGAATTCCCCTATTAGACAGTCATCATCTCATGGGCTGTCTCCATTGGAAGACAATGCTAAAATGTAGCATTTCCCATCACTTTCTGTCTTGGAGGCTGTGGTCAGTGGTCACAAAGATAAAAATGCAGCTAAATCAATCTTACAAGTACACACACAACATTAAAAAACAAAAAAAACAAGAGCTCTAATCGTGCCCTACTCTATCCAAAACAAAAGAAAAAAGTATTAGCCTTACATACACCAAACTGACCCTATTAAAGTCACCCATCTTTTTATTTTGATACCCCCTCCCCACCATGTTATGATTTGTAACTGATTTGTACTTGGAAACACCCATAAAAATCTGCAATAAGTGTTTTTCCCATAACTGAAATATATAAAGTGTGTGTGTGTGTGTGTGTGTTTTTTTTATTCCTTCAGAATTGTGTCCCAAAACTGCACACAATGGTGTTTCCAGATCACAATGGATTTTAAAAAATGTAATTAGCATTATGTAAAACATGGACCTACCCTCTGGCCTGAGAAGGAAGGCAATATAATCTGTGCTGAAGGAGCTGACATACAGAAGAACAGCTGGTGCTGAGTTAGTCCTGAAGCTAAATGAAATCTCCTCACGAGTCAAGTTGCTGACATAAAGGGGAAGAGACAGGATGACTTTCGCAAATTCCTGGGCAGCAACCATGCCAGCTGAAAGTATATTGTGGCGTAGCCATGTTCCTGCTTCAAAATATGCACCAATGTCTGCAAAAAATGGAAAAAAGAACAACGCTTTAAAATACAAAACAATTTGGAATGTTAGAATACAAGTCATACCCCTCACCTCATTATGTTTCCCTCATAAAATAGCTATAATCAGCCACAGATCAGTGATTTTAATGCAAACTATGTAGGCCTCTGCAAAGCTGAAATTACTTAAAAAGTAGGGTCCCACCCCCCATGCTGCAAGGGAAACACACATATTGGTTGGGGGAGCAGGAACAGCAGTTTTACTTACCTTTTTTTTTTTTTAAAGGATAAGACACTATGTCTTTATTTCTACTCATACTGAGGGATATACCAAGGAGGAGTGCTCCAGTGTATTAAGAGAGTGAGAGATCTTTGTGGGGATAGTGGCAGGAGAGGAGAGCCACAATTGAAGGAGTAACCACCATTACTGCTACGCTGTAAGGAGTAACCACCATTACTGCTACGTTGTTAAGTAGTAATCACCATTACTGCTACGTTGTTAAGGAGTAATCACCATTACTGCTACGGTGCAACTCAAGGATATAGTCCCATTTGGGGAACACAAGCGTTTTTAGCCTATTCATAGGCTTTGTATGAGGGATATACCAAGGAGGAGTGCTCCAGTGTATTAAGAGAGCGAGAGATCTTTGTGGGGATAGTAGCAGGAGAGGAGAGCCACAATTGAAGGAGTAACCACCATTACTGCTACGCTGTAAGGAGTAACCACCATTACTGCTACGTTGTTAAGGAGTAATCACCATTACTGCTACGTTGTTAAGGAGTAATCACCATTACTGCTACGGTGCAACTCAAGGATATAGCCCCATTTGGAGAACACAAGCGTTTTTAGCCTATTCATAGGCTTTATATGAGGTGAGCGCATAATAAGATCATTATTCAAGTCACTGGGAATTGGAGTTCACATTACCTGGGATTTTTTACGAGTATCACCAGAGACTGATTTATTTATCACTCATTTATCATCAATCATGTTTATATTTTTTGTGCACATTGAATATTGACTGATATTTTCAGTGTATTATCACTTTATGGGTGCACTTAATTTTTTATATATATATTGTGTTTACACTATTATATGGATTTAATTTAAAAACAATTTTTATGATATTTAATTAATAACAATTAGGAGCGCGGCACCATTGTGATATTTGTTGAATTTTTATGCACATTGCATGAGTATGTGTTTGGTGCTGACGAACCTATCTTATAATTAATTGGTGGCTCACAAGATTTCTATTTCATTTCAGTTTTACTTACCTTATTCCTACCTCCTGTAGGCTTCCTCCCACCTGAAGTATATTCCCCCAAAATGTCTTCTCTTGACATGCCGTTAGTCTAAGGCACTCACAAAGAATACAGGACCAGCGGTACTATATGGTAAGTGAGGACCTCGCATGTGAGAAAAAAAAGAAGTATTTTAAGTGGACCTAAACTAAACTGCAATTGTGCCCAAGCTAGAGATGGGAAGGCCTGGAAAAAATGGAAATGTTGGGGGTAAAAAAATGTTTTTCTTTTTTTTTGCACAAAAAAAAAAAAAACGTGAAATATGTTATTTTCCAATGATCAATAATATATCTATGACATGGTATTCAAACCATATATAATATGAAAAACATACTGAAAGATTTACATAAAGTCTCAAACTATTGTAAGTTCTCTCAGCTGAAGACAAGCAAATCCTGAAATATAGTTCAAGGAACACTGTACTTCAAAAATGCAGTTCTCAAACAAGAGAAATATATATTTCTGCCACTAGGGGGCACTTCAGGGGCAAGCATCCAGTTTAGTATGCTTGTGGGCTCCATCTTGTACCTCCTACAGTTGGGTGATTGTTGGGATACAGAAGATAATAGTTTCTGTCCTTTCAGGCCTCAATTGACTGACAAATTAGTTTATCTTTATAAGCTTTAGACGATTCCTAATAATGTTCTCCACCATCACGACATAATGTTTACCTATAGTCTGCTCAGTACATTGGTTTTTATTTTCCTCCCCTCAGTAAAATGGTGAGATCAGCATCTGGAGTTCGAAAACATTTCCACAATGCAATTTCTGCTCAGAGCAATGCTACAAGGATGACAAAACACATCCCGCCATGCGATAGGTGCCCTAAAGACATTAAAAAAATATTTTATGGAATTAAATGATGAGCACCATAATGAAAGTGCAAGTAGTTTTTCCCTCCAGAGTTCTCATTCCAGGAACACTCTTTCTGCTGCTTCTGGATTATCACAAAGTGTTTCTTCACCAGCAGCATCTTCAAGTAAGGAAGTGTTACAAACCACAGCCTCCCAAAAATACAAAATACCTTAATTTATAGATAAAATTACACCTGAAAATCAGGAGAACGTTGATCGAGCTCTTGTGCTTGTAATCAAACCCCCTTTAGTTGCAGGTATTGTGAAGTACTTAATTCTCAAAGATCATAACAGGGACTAAAAATGCCAATTTGAGTGGTTTCTAGCAGCTTACAGCCCTTACTTGTTTATTTACATTAGAAGGCTGTCAAGTTGCCAAGTTTTTGCTCTGCATAGAAAATAAAGGGGAAAGGAGGTGTGATCTCAGTGCCACAGGTGTGAACTATGAAGTGCTCCACAATGCCTATAGCTACAAAGGTCAGTGAGAGCTTGTTAACAATATTTAATGTCTAAGCACAAGTGTACTTTAATTACTTCAGAACCGCAATGCGTAATTATATATCAGCGGTTCTGAAGCATATACCGGGCTGATGCCTGCAGCTTCAGGCATCAACCCAGTATTTTTTTTTAAATAGCAGGTGATTCACTAGAATGTAAAAGCAATTAGAGAGGCTAACTAACCACTGGAATGCTTTTACAGGTGGCGGGAGGGATCTACTGCTACCCTCTGATGCCTCTCCGGGCTCTTCGTTCCACCAGAGAACCAGGAATTTAACTGGCTTACAATGCAGTGCCTTGAAAAAGTATTCATACCCCTTGAAATGTTCTTGTTATTAAAAAAATAAGTTGGGCTGTCTAAGAGGGATTTGATCACACAGTTTATTGTGACCATGCTAACATATAATTTCTGATCAGAAGCAGCAGAGCCAGGGGTGTATCAAAAAATCAGTGGGCCCCTTTGCAAGATCAAAAGTGCACCTTACGCATTGATGCATTGTGGTGAAAAGTGGGCATGGTTTAAACTGTGCTAAATATTGGGCATGGCTTAAAGGGGATACGATTAAATAGAGTCTGAAATGGTTTATTGCAGAATGTGGTAATGTTGGATAGGGAATGTACACAGCAGAGTGTATGGCCATGGATAGTATGTGTAGGAGAGGAGTGTGGAGTGTATGGAGGTGGGTATAATGTGCAGGAGAGTAGTGCGGAGTGTATGGAGGTAGGTAGTATGTGCAGGTAGAGTTCAGAGTGTTTGGCGTTGGGCAGTATGTGCAGCAGGGTCGTGAGGAGTGTACGACTGGGTAGTATGTGTATGAGAGGAGTGTGGAGTATATGGCGATGGGTAGTATGTGTAGGAGAGGAGTGTGGAGTGTATGGGAGTGGGTAGTATGTGCAGGAAGAGGAGTGCAGAGTGTATGGCGGTGAGTAGTATGTGCAGGAGAAGAGTACAGAGTGGGTAGTATGTGCAGGATAGTATCAGCATGGCAGATGATGGTGTCAGTAGTTCTTTATTTTTATTTTTTACAATTTTATTTTTTATTATTTTTTGCAATTCATTTTTGTTATTATTTTTTTTAAAAATGCTGAAGTGTCAGAATGTTATTGTTTATTTTTATTATTTTTTTTTAATTTTATTCTGGGGGCAGTGGACAATGTCAGTAGGTTAGTAGACGGTGTCAGTAGTTTTTTGTTTTTATTATTTTTTACTATTTTATTATTTTTTACAAATTATTCTTTTCACAATGCTTGGGGGGGGGGGGTAGCAGTGTATGGTGTCAGTAGAGCAATGAACAGATTTTTCATTTTTTTTTTTTTTTTTATAATTTTATTTTCTAATTATTGTTTCCAAATAATTTTGTATAATTTTTTTCACAATGATTTGGGGGGTCAGTGGACAGTGTCAGCAGGGCAGTGGGCAGTGTCAGTAGAGCGGTGGATGGTAGCAGTAGTTTTTTTTTATTTTTGTTAATTTGTACAATTTTTTATTCTTTTTCACAATGCTTAGCGGGGGAGGGGGGGCTGTGGATGGTGTCAGTAGTTTCTTCTTGTTTTTATTATTTTATTTTCTATTATTTTTTACTATAATTTTTGTTCTGAGGAAGGGGCAGTGTACATTGTCAGTAGAGCAGTGGATGGTGTCAGTAGTGTTGATTTATTTTTTACAAATTTAATTTTTTTGCACAATGCTTTTTTGGGGGATTACTTAAAAAATACTTATTACATTTTTTTAAATCCGCTTTGGTGAGATGTCAGGGGAATGCATCCCCTTTGAGACAGAGAAAGGGACTGAGGACAGAGATTATCTAGTCCCTTTCTCTGCAGCCTCAGCTGCACTGAAGATGAATGAACAGGAGACAGATGCTCCTGTTCATTCATAAACTGAAGCATAGTAAACAGTTTATGATGCTTCAGTTATGAATGGACAGACTCAGTGATCGGTACTGATTACAGACTCTGCTCATTCAGAAAAGGAAGGGGCCACTAAATTACTGGCCCCTTCCTCGGTTCTCTATCCTGACAGACAGCAGCCAGCAGGAGAGGAGAAGAGGGAAGCCATCAGTGTTGCATGGAGATGCTGGGCCAAGGAGCACACAGGGGGGCTGGAGTAGCACATGGGAGGTGCCCAGAAAGGAAGGGAAATCCGATGGATAGTCGGGGATGATCGATGCGGTGATGGGGACAGTAACAAGCACCAATCTCCCCATATGGCTTTCCATGAAGCAGCTGAAATCTGCAGAAGAGGAGAAGCGACTTTCAGCTGCTTCATAGAAAACCATATAGGGAGAATGATGCTTGTAACTGCCCCCACCACTGCACTGATCACCCCCGACTGTCAAATTTTACATGCTGCAAGAAGTACCAACCAGGGAGAGGGCCTCCTACTGGCCCCGAGCACTCGGGTGTGCCCAAATAATCAGTCTACCCCTGTGCCTGACATATGTCTCATCCACGTGTGCAGTGTAGGTCAGAGTGCAGTGTGGGTCAGACCACAGTGCCGTCCCCCCGGGACCTGGCACTCAAATGTGACCGTGCTTAGGCACATTCTGTTCTTGCAGGCATAACCACCTTTTCCTACTACTGATTATTGGATTACATTATTGGTGTCATTGGGGGAGGGGTCAAGGATTAGGTAGAGCTATCCACAGAAACGCAGTACAATGGACGACAAAAGTAGACCTGGCCAAACAACAGCTACAGAATGCCTATTGTAAGTGCTACATCATTCACAAATGACTTTTCTTACACGGTTTGAAGGGTAAAGCAGTTTGAATCTAGGTGTGTTTTAATGGATGCCAGTACTGAGAGAATATGGTGGCATCCATTGCAGTTTTGCTTTAAACATGCACTGCTACAGTATTAATGACATAGTATGAATTTGAGGATTCATCATATCTTCCATCAATGTGTTAAGCTTGGGGTGGCAGTGTAATGGTGATGCTATTGAGTCCACATGGGGAAGTATCTCAGTTTGCAGCACTTTGTGAATCCGTGGCACATAAATAAAGCAGAAGAAGGTCAGTATTAGATAGGTGTACATCTTAATTTCCTATAACATTGCACTATTTCTACCCTTGTCTTCAGTGTCTGCCACAGATACAGATATTTATTTTCTGCATAATGAAAGTTGGTATTGTTCTACCTCTTCCAGTACTCTTTACCCCTATTTACCTCTAGTGCAAAATGGTCCTTCAAAGCCAGTTCCATTACAGTCACAGGTATAGTAACTGTATCTCTCCACACAGCGGGCTCCATTCTGGCACTCCATCTGTGGCCTCTCACAGTAGCCTGTGCAGTTGGTCCTCACCCCTAATCTCTCATTTGCCTTTCCTTCTAAGTCTAAGGTCAGACCATTCATCCGAAGACCACGGAGACAGCCAATGTATGGCTTCAGTCTGTAGTCTGCAGAGCCTGTGATTGGCAAAAATAAGCAAAGAACACACTGAATGCAACAGATGATATAATAAACGAACAAGTTACATGATTTCATTACACAACAGTAACTGGTCTATATATAATTTAATGCACCACATTCCTAGTGACTATGTACATAGGAAATTATCTAATTTTTGTGACTTCAAGGTGCCCATTCAAAAATGTAAAACATCGTCTAAAAGTTCAATTACTTTCTTGACATTTTTTAGGAATAATTATACAATTCATATACATAGGCAACCTTCTTAAGGCTATTTTGGCACTTTATGTAACTAAGGCAATAATGTCACCTATTTAAAAAATAATGCTTCACATTTGCCTTAATAAACCACACCGTTAGACCATATACATTTTTCATAAACCAGACACTTTGTTTCCACTGGTATCTGTACTTGTTTTGTACGCTAGTCATGTTTTGTGGTCCTGGTGATTATAATGTGTTTTGTGGATTTTTATACCCACTATCAGGTATCTATAAAGAACATTATTGCTACCACTGAGTGATGTATCAAGAATTGGAGACCACCTCACCAAACTAGCCCCGTGGGAGGATAACAGTTAAGTGGCACCCACAATAATGACCAAAATATTGGGAACTCAATATTGACTGCATCCATAATGAGGAAACCCAAAGACATCAAGACAGTCTTTATAGCTTCTGACAGAGTCATCCATGTTAAGCTCCATACCCAAACCCCCATGTAAACAGGCTCAACAGGCTTCAAAATGATATACTCTTAGACTGTAAGCTTCAAGGAGCAGGGCCCTCCTATACCTCTTGTATTGAACTGTATTGTTGCAGTATTGTCTCCCTTTATATTGTAACGCGCTGAGCAAACTGTTGGCGCTATATAAATCCTGTATAATAATAATAATAATAATATTATGTGAATTGGAAGATGGCCTATATTCCTTCACCATCCAACATCTCCACCACCACAGGGTCTCCTGGGCTCAGTGTTCGAGGGTGAGGATACCTCCTGATTTGCTACAAGGTTACAAGTCTCTCCCAGTTTTCATTTGGCTTATATTAGCTTGTAAAATTAGATTGTGCACACCACCGAGACTGGATGTTTTACTTTGGCTTTTTTTAGTTTGTCTGGCAAAGTATTGCAAACAAGGATAATATGTATGCCAGTCGTTCTGTTAAGAAGGCTCTAGAGTCCTGCATCATACTAGCTGGGAAATTCATGAAGAGGGTTTATGATACTTTTTGGAATTCTGTTGTACCTCCCCCAAATTCATGTACCTGGCCCTATGGATCTGGTATGGATTTGAAGGGGAACCCCACGCCAGAATAAAAGAAAAATTGGTGTTGGGTCCTCCCAAAATCTTTACCAGACCCTTATCCAAGCATGCAGCTCGGCAGACCCTCCTGAACCGTACCAAGCCACATGCCCTTAACATGGGGGGGGGGGGTTGCTTTAGAACAGGGGGTGCATTGGGTAAGTGTCAATATGGGGCGGAATCATCTGGTGATGTCACTGGGTAACCCAGCCCACATGTTTATCTGTCATTTGGGAATGACACCCGCCCAATGAGAGGTAGACATAGGGGCTGGGTCACCCGGTTACGTCACCAGGTAACCCCCACCCCTATGTTTACCTGTCAGGTGGCTGTGTCGCTGGATGGATGTTTTTTTTTATGTCTTTTTAACCACTTCCCACCCGGACTATAGTAAAATGATGGCCGGGCGGGACTCTCATCGATCCGGGAGAGCGTCATATGACGTCCTTCCTGTATCATGCCTTGCATGTTCCTGCAGGGCAGCACTGTGGCGAGATCTGTCACTGGCTATGTACCTCGGACATGGCTGATGACAGATCTGTGTACCGGCCCCATTGCCAGTACCATGTGACCTGCTGTGACCAATCACAGCAGGTCATATGATAGTTGTAAACAATGGATGGCTTCATTTCATGCCATCCATTGTATACAAGTGTGTCTAGCTGTGAATGGTCACAGTGATCACATGCACAGGCTGGGCCAATCACAGCCCATCTGTGGCATGTGATTAGCCATGGCCAATCACAGCTAATCACAACAAAAAAACATGAATGAATCAATTTCATTCTGTTAAATGCTTGCTTATAGCAAATAAATTCTGAAATTGTGTAAAAAAACAATTTCCCAAAGTAGTACAATGTTACTATGGTTACTTTGTCATAGTGTAATATGAAAAAAAAAAAAAAAAAAAAAAAAAAAAAGATATTAAAATTTTTTAATAAAAATTAAAAAAAAATTATACATTTTTTTTGTACTGTCACCAGTCAGTGTCCTTGATTTTTAATTTCTTAATTTTCCAAAAAATTACAACTTCAAAAACCTCTCCATGCCTCTACGTCGGACTGTCTACTTTGCAAAAAGGGGTCATTTGGGGGATATCTGTACTGTTCTGACATTTTTGGGCCTCAAGAAATTAGACTGGCCATCAGTACTTCAGGATTGATCAATTTTCAGATATATCCCATAGTTTGTGAACTCTATAACTTTCCTACAGGCTAGATAAATACTGATTTGGGTTACTTTCACCAAAGAAATGAAGAACAATTATTTATTTGCAAACTTTTATAACAGAAACAAAGAAAAACTTAGCTTTTTTTCAACATTTTAGATTTTTTATTAATACAGCAAAAAATAAAAACCCCAGTGGTGATTAAATATCACCAAAAGAAATCTCTAGTTGTGTTAACAAAATGATAAAAATTGCATTTGGATACAGTGTTGCAGAACTACGCAATTGTCATTCAAAGTGTGAGCGCTGAAACCTGAAAATTGGCCTGGGCAGGAAGGGGGTAAAAGTGCCCAGTATTAAAGTGGTTAAAGGAACACTTTGAAAAAACATCAGATCTCAATGGGGAAAAATATCATGCTGGATATTATCTATACTGATATGGAATAGGTAATGTGTTAGGAACGTAAGGATGCCCCATCATTTGATGGAAATGGACATTACCAGCCTACAGAGGACTGCATTCAAAGACACCCCGAAAATCAAAGTGAAAAAATGATGCAGCAGGCTAGTCCATTTTGCTAAAATGTCATTACATCAACACAAAATGGTACTCAGTAGCTTGTATGGCCCCCACGGCTTGTATTCATGCCTGTCAATGTCGGGGCATTCTCCTAATGAGACGACGGATGGTGTCCTGGCATATCTCCTCCCAGATCTGGACCAGGGCATCACTGAGCCCCTGGACAGTCTGAGGTGCAACCTGGCGGCATTGGATAGACCAAAACATGATATCCCAGAGGAGTTCTATTAGATTTAGGTCAGGCAAGCGTGGAGGCCATTCAATGGTATAACTTCCGTCTTCCTCCAGGAACTGCCTGCATACTCTCGCCACGAGGCTGGGCATTGTCGTGCACCAGGAGGAACCCAGGACATACTGCACCAGCATAGGGTCTGACAATGGGTCCAAGGATTTCATCCCGATACCTAATGGCAGTCAGGATGCCATTGTCTAGCCTGTAGAGGTCTGTGCGTCCCTGTATGGATATGCCTCCTCAGACTATCACTGACCCACCACCAAAATGGTCATGCTGAACGATGTTACAGGCAGCATAACGTTCTCCACAGCTTTCACGTCTGTCACATGTGCTCAGGGTGAACCTGCTCTCATCTGTGAAAAGCACAGGGCGCCAGTGGCAGACCTGCCAATTCTGGTGTTCAATGGCAAATGCCAATTGAGCTCTGTGGTGCCGAGCAGTGAGCACAGGGCCCAATAGAGGACATCAGGCCCTCAGGCCACCCTCATGAAGTCTGTTTCTGATTGTTTGGTCAGAGACATTCACATCAGTGGCCTGCTGGAGGTCATTTTGTAGGGCTCTGGCAGTGCTCATAATTTTCCTCCTTGCACAGGGAGCAGATATCGGTCCTGCTGATGGGTTAAAGACCTTCTACGGTCATGTCCAGCTCTCTTAGAGTAACTGCCTGTCTCCTGGAATCTCCTCCATGCTCTTGAGACTGTGCTGGAAGACACATCAAATCTTCTGGCAATGGCACGTATTGATGTGCCATCCTGGAGGAGTTGGACTGCCTGTGCAACCTCTATAGGGTCCATTTATCAACTCACGCTACCAGTAGTGACACTGACCCTAGCCAAATGCAAAACTAGTGAAAAACAATTGTAAAACATGAGTAGGGGGAAAAATGTCAGTGGCCTCCACCTGTAAAACCATTCCTGTTTTGAGTATCATCTCATTGTTGCCCATCTAGTGCACCTGTTGTTAATTTCATTAAAACCAAAGCAGCTGAAACTGATTAACAACCCCCTCTGCTACTTAACTGACCAGATCAATATCCCAGGAGTTTAAATGACTTGATGCTATACTCTAATTAAAAAGTGTGCCTTTATTTTTTTTTTTTGTGATATATATATGTATATATATATATATATATATATATATATATATATATATATCTCTATATACACACTCTAAATGATCATGTGTGTGGACAGACTCTGGGACAATTGTGCAGAGTAAAGATACCATCATTCTCTCATTATTCCCTGAGTATGAGGAGAGGGGGACTCTGCAGAGGAATTAAGAATTCATACTTGAGGTCCATAGTGCTGGCCTGTGGTGCATCCAGGTGCCCCTAGGTGGCAGTGCACCTAGGCGGCTGCTTAGCTTGCCTAGTAGAAGTGCACTGGCTGCACTCTTGAGAGACCTCAGCCAATCCCCAACAGTAGATCTGGCAAGGGGCTGGGAGTGTTGGAACCTGCTCAGTAGCAGGAGTGTGGAGATTTGGATGGAAGAAGGAATAGGAAGAAGTGAGGCTGGAGGAGAAAGGCCGCCAGGAGCCTGGAGCTGGAAAGGCGGAATACTTGGAGCTCATTGGCCCTAGAGAGGACCACCAGTATGGCAGGGGAGGAGAAGCCCCGCTGATGAGCCTGGTAGCAGCCACTAACCCACAAGCAGTACAGGAGAGGATCTGAGTGAGTACATCTGCACTCTGGTGGGAAACCAGA